TAATAAATTCGTAAATATGGCTACAGAAACGTCTCCACCAAGATTATTTGACATATCTAAAATAAGCTGTCAAAAATTATGAAGTAAATACAAAAGTAGATACGGTATATAATACATGTTTAGTACAGTTATTTAATCTTTACCTTTTTTACACCTAGGTTATTTAATTTATCAAGACCATCTACTAGAGAGAATATAGTAGTTTTTTCACTTTCCTCAGTAATTACTGCGACACCAACTGTTCCGTTATTTACTAAGTAAAAATCTTCAGTTACTAATTTCGCGTGTTTAATTTGTGACTTTTTGTTTTTTTTATTCCTTGATGCCGACGCTTTAAAATTTTTATTTGAAGTCGACTCTGTAGCTTTATCTCTTGACGTTAATTTTGTACCATTGCTACTTGAAGTAGAAGTATCTTGTAAGAAAAAGCTATCAGAAGTACAATCGTATACAATAGCCCATTCTCTTTCTAATTTAAATGATTTTTTCGGACATTTTAAATTATATGTAATACTAGGAGTTTCAGGAAAATCATTTCACAAAGTAAATTGTTGTGAAAAAAAATCCTGAACTAGGAGCTAAAACCATGTTGAATCGGACTCCAAATCTTTTGAATATGAAATACTATTATTTGCAAATTCAATTATTGCTTGTAATGTAGGTTTTCCATCAATTTCGGGGGTCTAATTTATCATCGAAAACATTTTGATAAATAAAGATATTCATTAATAATCAACATTAATACGATAATATAAACTTATACAATAATTCTTGATATAAAAGGTTTGCATTCATAATAAAATTTTGAATTTACATAGATTGAGAATTCATTAATAACATTCTTATATGGTCTATCGAGAGTTATTTGTAATATTATTCTAAATTATATAATTAATTCTATTCAAATACCTTAATTATCTGTCATATTCGATAATTTATTATAATATAATAGTAATAGTTGTATACGCAAATGATACTAATATATGAAATTACTTTACCTGTGTTTTATATTTTTCTTTATCGGTCGTAACTACAGAGTATAAAGTTAGGTTTTGATCATAAACAAAATTCTGATAGCAAATATTAACAATTCTTGTATGGTCATCTTTTAATTTGAAAATAGTATTTCTTAAAGCTTCCTAATTAATTTAAAACCTTTAATGTTAACATTTTTTTAAAAAAATTGTAAAGTATATGTGCTTATTTATAATATACATACCATAAAGTCGTAATCTGATTTAAAACTTATTTTATGTAACGACTTTAATTCATTTATATGTTTACAGGTTGATAAGTAAATCCCTTTGGTGGTTCTTCATTGGCCTCGTCAAGGAAAGCATAATAATTTGACATGAAGTGTGACACAGCGTCAATCGTCTTTGTTAAAAAAAAAAATAAAAGTTAACATACGCAATTATGAAAAAATATTAATGATTACTTCTTTAGCGAATTTAGCATCAAAAGGAAAGCTCTCAATACATTCCTTAGCAACATTATATTCAATAAATTCATCATTATCGGCTGCTTTAGATACTTCCAGGCATAGGGATTTGGGATCAGTCTCTCGTGATTCTAAAGATGGCAAAATAATTGCTAGTAATACCACAAAGAGTATAAGGTATTTATCAAGTTTTTAATAAAATTGAATCATTTTCATAATCAGTTCTTATATTAAAACCCGAGTGCACGAAGCGCTGTATTAAAAAATAAAATTCGCGAAAAGTGTACCTAAATAACAGGTGAACCTTTATAGGAAAATTTTTTTAATCTTTTTTTTTTTTTTTTTAAGATTGACATCCACCATGGCTTATTAGAATTATGATGTTGTCACGTTTTAAAATCTCAAAATAACTCTTATATAGACGAAAATTGCCAAACCTATCTTTTTTTTTTGAGAAGATTGACATCCATGAGTTTATTGATGCTACGCGTGAAAATTTAAAAATAACTCTTATCTAGACGGAAATTGTCAACCCTACATTTTTTAATAATAATTTAATATATCAGTATTTAGATTCAAATTGAATAGGATTATCCTGAATAAATTATCGGATACCAAAATATTAGCATTTGGATGACGGTTGTAAATCCACCATCCATTTATCTGACATGCTATATCTGGATATTCATCTCATTAATCTGTTTTCATAATTTCTGAAACACCTAAATGAGAATGGACTAGGAAAAACTCCTTTGACAGCTAATAACGAAGAGTGGTTTCCTAGTCCATTCCCAAATTTTCGAGTGATTTTTCGGCCGATCCGATTAAAGCTAGCAGTATAGATGTTTTACAGATCGTTAGAACGTCAACATACTCAAATACTGTTAAATTTTCTCCTGAATACATATCAACATGTTTAGCCTGTTTAGTTTGTACCGTATAAGCGCGTAATAACGCGCAGGGGTGTAATTTCGAAATTTGGCCTAAATTAAGCCTAATTCGGGCCATTA